ATACACTAGGGCGTCCGTAGTGTAGGATAAGCACTGGTAAAAGGTATCAAGAATAGAGTGTCTTGAGGAAATAGCCGGTGTATGGTTATAGCAAGCCTGGGGGGTAAATTTACCACCCGCTTATGCATGCATTAGGTTAGAAATAGGGGTAAACAACTTGTAACGGTGAAGTACAAGTCCTATGCAGCAAGCAGCAGCCAGCAGCAGCAGCAGCAGCCGCCTGCAGCCAGCAGCCAGCAGCAACCACCAACCAGCAGCCAGCCAGCAGCACCACGCAGCAGCAGCGCAGCATCAAGCCGCAGCAGCAGCAGCAGCACCACCGGCAGCAAGCACCACCGGCAGCAAGCAGCAAGCAGCAGCAGCAAGCAGCAAGCAGCAAGCAGCAGTAGCAGCGGCGTCATCAGCCGCAACAAGTAGCAAAGCAGCAGCTACAAAAGCGGCAACCAGCGGCAGCAGCAAACAGCAGCAGCAAGCAGCAGAGCGGCAGCAGCAGCAGCACCCTTTACACCAAGCCACCGTTTACACCCAACCAACCACGTTCAACCAACCCCCTACACGGCGCAGCTGGGAGTTGAACCGCGGGGGGGGGGGGTTAGCTTGATATATCAATCTTTAAGGCACGCAGCCCCTCCCACCACAACATTGCTAAAGCAAAGAAGAACTCAGCTAGCATGCTAGCTTTCGTGATAAAATGCCAGCCCTTTCTGCCAGTCCATTCCTCCCAGCTCACTCCCACCCAGTCCATTCCGGCTGTGCAAGGAAAACATTTTGCCACTCCACTCCTCCCAGTTAGTTGAGCCCTGGACCTCTCACCCTCCCTTGGTCCCTCCCTCACCGTCTTGAGGGGATGCTCCAGCAAAGCTAGCACCTCGGTCAGGCCAGGATGCTCAGGTGGTGGTGGGGCCCTGATGGCCCTGATTCCTTTCATGCTATATATATATATATTACAAGTAGTGTAATATATGCACTCTGGTGTGTGCAAATATTACAAGTAGTTTTTTGTTTATATGAATACAGTGTTGAAGTGTTTTGTTGAGTGATATATTTTATCATATTTGATGGAACTATCAAATATACACAGTAGATCACAGTAGTATATGTATAGTTTTGTTTGCATTACCACACCTGTCCGGCTGGCAGTGTTCCGCCGGACCTCAACCGCGAGTTCCAGTTGGCAGCGTTCCCCGCCGGACCTCAACCGCGAGCTCCGGCTGGCAGTGCTCCCCACCGGGCCTCAACCGCTAGCTCCTGAGCGCACTGGGCGCTGCCGGACCTCAACCAACACACAATCACAAACACGACTACAATTACACAATCATAAACACAACCGCAAACACAATACAAACAAACACACAATCACAAACGCACAACCACAAACACATCCGCAAGCACACAACCACAAACACAATCACAAACACAGCCACAAACACACAATCACAAACACAGTCACAAACACACAATCACAAACGCAGACACAGCACACAACCACAACGACACGTCCACAGCTCACAACCACAGCACACAACCACAACACGCAACCACAGCACACAACCACAACACACAACCACAACCACAACACGCAACCACAGCACACAACCCGAGGACCCACAAGCAAAATCGAGAACCACAAAACGCACGACCATGGCAACATGCTCCTCACCATGGCATGAAGACAAATGATTGAAAGGTCAAGTAGTTTTGTTTACTGATATTTACTGATATTGTATTTATATATATACACATATATTTAATATAATATGTAATCTTACGAGTACGTCATGTTGTAAATTGTAATGTATGCGAACATAACCAGGGGCTTGAGTGAATTCAGGCTCTCCATCTCTACCCCTCTGTCATGGCCCCTGACAGGACGACTGCACAAACCCTGCGGACACCGAATTCTTCGTGCTATCCATGAGCTTCAAGCATCCATGAAGAATGCTTCCAAGAATCTCGCCCCAACCCAAATGAGCTTGGAGGCGAACCTTGGGCATCTTCTCCACATGCATGTGCTTCTCACCACCTTCTCAAGGGCTCGCGAAAGAGTTTCTCACATCCCGACATATCCAGGGCACTTCCTCCTTGCGCTCGCGCAGGTGATTGCACAGCCGCAGCCGCAGCACATCGGCCTTCTCTCGTTCCTGAGTCTTGTGCTGCTCCTCCACTGGCTCGCCGCGCTGGTCGCGGTCCAAGTGGTTGCAGGGGTCCAGGTATTTGGAACGGATCCTTGGCCATTCGTGGGGCTTTCGGACAAGAGCTTCCCTGAAGCACCACTGTTGGGAGCCTCACCCGGAAGGAGGCCCCTCGGTAGGTTCTAACAGTCCTTACAACGCACACGATGGTCGCCAATCAAGACTCGAGGTCCACAAACGATGGTGGTGGAGCTGCCTTGGAATGGGGAGTGTCCATATCCAAGACTTGCCATAAAACGAACATAAAAGAACACAATTGCCTCCAGGTTAAGTCTCCGCTCCCTGAAACTACCATCCCCTGGCATCTGACAGAAGCTCCAAAAAAGGACACACCGTTTTGGATGCAAACCGCAACTTTCCCCTGCCCTGGCGCGGCACACGGCGCGGAAGAGGCAACGGCAGTCTCCCAGCACCGGCCAGATGGGCGGCGCCGCGGCCGCTGGGCTTGGCGCGCTTTGCGCGCTTTGCGCGCTTTGCGCGGCGACCCCGGGAGAGGTGGCAGGCGATGCGGATGCACGCGATGCATCTGCAAAAAGAATGAAAAGCGCACTATACTTGACCTTGGGTCTATTTACGGTATACAGATCAGTGGATCCATAAAGTTGACAACTGATGGTCGAGAGATGTCGTGACGCAATCAGCTTTAGACAAGGAAATGAGGTGTTCCCACCTGGTGGATGATGCAACAAACCCGTGCCGGGCGAATCTTCAGTCATCCCGTGCCAGACTGGCTATGCGTGCTTTGTGTGCCCAAAACACAACGGTCAATGATCTGGTCCGCGGGTCGTTGTGTCACCTCTGTGGCACACTCAGCTCTGTGGATCCATTCTCCGCTGGAAATAACACTCCCCAAGCAGGCCAACGCTGCCCGCCATTGACCGGCCAACCTCCTCCGGTCTCGGTCGTCTCCGTGGTGCCACTGGGCAGCACCAGACGCCGCGAGGGCGGCGGTGACGAGGAGCGCGGCGAGCGCGGCGAGCGTGGGCGCTTGGAGCCTGGGCGAATCCGCGTGGGCGGCGTGGGTGCCACAGGTAGGGAAGTCGTGGATTTGGAAAATCTAAGGGTATTTATGTATACATATAAAATATATAATAGTGATAGGAAAAGGAATAGTAAGTTTATTAACAAAAACTTCCATATATTAGTTTAATATATATATATATATACAGTGTTGGAGATTTGCAATTTGCAACGAATGCCTTGCAGCAGCTGTGCTTCTACCAATTGGGGTGCATTCTGTTGCTGCTTGCTCAATGATATTTCACAGGCTCAAGCCCAACTGCATGCCAGCGCTAGGCAGCAGCCGCCCAGCTTGCTGCTCTCGCAAGTGTTCCTGAGGATGACCCTATTGCCTGCAGTCATTTTGAGCGCGCGTCAACAAAACTGCTACAAGCTGATGGCAGAACTTATGGCGGGCAGCTTTCTGTCGCCTTGCGCTGTTCCATGTCAAAGAATTGGGCGCGCGCCGCCACCGGTGAAGCTCGCCAAAATCGAGGCCGAAATCCGGGCGCCATTTCTCACTGTCATAATGCAGCCAACATTTTGAGCCCTCCTGGCGGCCTCGCTTTCTGATCCTCTTTTGTGAAATTTTCGTCACCTGCTGTCCGCCCATCCTTCCGGCGTTGAGCAACCTATGCATGGGCCACGCATGTATGTTGGCGGCGATGCTTCCGGGCACGTGATCTATCTTTGCCGTTGCCCTTTGTTGCTGTCGCGTAGTCAAACAGCTTCCTACGCGTGTGTTTCTGTTGCAAACTTGCCTGGGCGCAATAGCGCATCCAAGTTTGCGAGCACAATTTTTTTGACAAGACTTCTTTCCAATAAGCCCAAATCAGTCATCATTGGAGGTGTGCAGTGGACGCCGCGCAGCCTGTTTACTGGCCGGGCAAGAACACTAAGTGTAGCGGTAACTAGAGGTCCACCAAATGCTGCACCTGCCACAGTGGAACAAGAGGTTTGCCAAATGCTGCACGTGCCACAAAATATTATCAAATTAGCAGTTCGCCCCATGGTGCTTGCCATGAAAATTAAAGTTTCGAATTTCACCAAATATGGCGCTTACTGCGCGAGAAATCAAAGGCATTGCAATGGAGAAGGACGCCCAAAAAACATGCACACACCGTGCCAGAACTTTATACCCGCGTGTTCAATAAGATTGTTTCCACGCCCGTCACATCATCTTCTGGGCCCTCAAAAACTCGTGTTTTTTGGCTTCAGCATGGTGTATCCTCACAGTATATATATATATATTACATGTAAAAATACAACAACATATTTGTCCATGGGTCTACTGCATACGGTTCTTAGTCAAATTAATGGGGACACGTAGCACATCAGAGCTGCCATGCGTCAACTCCCACTCTACACGATGTTACGTAGTCTGTGAGAATGGTTTTATAATGGGCTAGGCCAGGCTGATTTAATCCCCTGTAACACTGGATGATGATGGTTAGTAAAAACCTTTCTCAATCGTCCCCCGTCACCAGCTGTTCCTCCAATCCTCCACGCAGCTTCGCGGAGAAAAATCGGTCAAAGTTCAGCTTCAGCCCCTACAGTAGGGAGCCACACACCTTCCCTGCGTCGGTAGGACTGTGACTAGACCCTCCTCACGGGCGACATCAAATTTGTCTGCCTCACCCTCAAAGAAAGGGTGTCAGTGGATCCATCATGTAGACCTTTGATTTACCTGGCCAAAAGAGGCTTTGCAATCAACATGGGGGTTTTGTTCATCAACTCTCTACACGAATGAGGCGAACCGTCTGAACAGTTCTGAGTTCGCCCCTTCTTTTGGGGTCCTGGGGGGGGGGCACTTTCCAGTGATGATCAGAAGAATCCCCTCCAAGCCGGAACACGCACGTTAAAGATTGACCCACCAATAAAACTCCAAAACCTTGGACCTTCTGATCTTCTCATGCAGGTGACAGGTGTCTTTCAGATCCAAGCCCGGATGTCGCTCGGAGGGACCAAATCAGGTTTATCCCTGGACCGTTGATCAATATTATCCCCCGCATTTGGATGAACAAACCTCTTCATATGGCTTTTTGAAATCAGCCGCCTACTTTAAAGGTGATCCACTTTTCCTGGGTCGGAAGCCCCGGCCTGGCCCAAAGAGCCGATAGCCTTGGCGTGCAGCTTCCTGCATCGGAACCGGTCCCTTCAAGTTCGGCACACGCAAGGCGGCTTCAGTCCCACCACGTGTGAACTGTCCAAGATGATGCAGACCAAAGAATATGGCCGTGTTTCACCAACCTGCACAGTTGCTACTATACCTGCCAACACCAGTCAGGATGTGCATTGAATATATTATATATGGTCTGTTCATCTCTTCACAAATTCTCTGAACTGTGGTGAAGATGAATTTTGCATACCATAGACTCCGTTTCCACTCCCAAATAAGTCAAGCACTCTCCCCTCTTGTCTGGAGTCTGGTGGGAACCGGTCGTAGTACCCCCTATCACACCACCTCTAGGAAGGTCCGCTATATTTGGAGGCGTACGAAATATGGTTGTTGGACTTCTAGGGTACCCGAGCTCTCCGTGAGCAGTTCCCAAAGCTTTTCTACAAAGTTTGGATCCTTCGGCCACACAAAACGATGAAGATGATGAAGATGATGAAGCTAAAAAGAATGATGAAGGTGGATCCTTGCTGTTCTCCGGATTCCAAACTCTTCGGCTCCAGCTGAAGCGAGCACCCATTTGGCACCCGGTGACCTCCCCCACAACTCCTCACGTGCTTGGGCATCCAGCGGCTTTGGCTGGGTACCTAGGAAATTGGCCAAGGAATTGCTGGGTCCCTCTTGGAGTCACCTGTGAACAAAGGACATCACTGCCAAACCAAGGGACCCAACGGACATGCCGGGACCAAACGCCCTTCTCCGGATGGTCGTAACTTGGCTTCCAAGAGCAACAACATCTTGTCCCACACATTTTTTTAGACACACAAAGCACAGCCGTAGGATCACCCACCTCGAACCTTACATCAGAAAGCGGACGTGATATCACCGTTCGACGGGTGGTGTCCTACCCACACGGGTGCAAACGTTGATCAATAATGATATATCATGATCCATTCGTGGCCTGACGTGGCCTCCATGTGCCTCCGTGAGTGTCACGCATGAACTCCACATCCATGCAAACCAAACCCAATTTTGGGTGTATATTTGAATAGAGAGAATTTGTGGTCCTGTCTGAGGAGACTGGGAGGTCTCCCAAAGCTTTCTTGGGGTGGGTTTCAGAGACCACATGAATCCGGGAAGGCCACCATTGTGATTGTAGATGTAGCAACCAGAGATTGAAAAAACAATTGCGCTTAAATCAAACCAATCAACCCACTCAAGTCATCCTCTGCAAAGCTCAGAGCAGAAGACGCTTCCACTCTTCGTTTGCGACCCTTTTTGGGCACCGATTTGAGCAGCTACCTGAATTCCGTGGCATGTGATACAGAAGAAGAACATCTGTAGAGATTCGCCGCCCCAAAATTTGTTTGACATCTTTTGTGTTGGTTGAAGGAGTTCCACCTTTTAAAGGTTGGGTTTATGCATTCCTTCCTGAACACCTAGGAACAAAGTCGCGCCACTTTGACGGCCTGAAGCACTCTTCCTCCGTGCCACGGGGGTCTCGGCATGGCCTGGCGGGACGACAGGAACTGTACAAGTCAAAACGCGGATGAAGTCCAGCTGGACTCTATGTTTGTCCCACCGAAGTAAAGGAAATCCTCTGTCTGAAGAGCAAGACAGATACTGCCCCTTTCTTTCTACGCTCCGAACGGCTCCCCTGTTTGTAACATGGATACCCCCGGCAACCCAAGCCGTCGCTCCCGCCCGAGCAACAGCTAGGATGTTCTGGAAGTGTTGGATGAATACAGGCATTTCCCATTTCCCAATTTTGCACAGTTTGCACCTTCTTCTGTCAAGTTACACAGTAGACCTAGTTGTCAGTAGTCATGACCGGCAACCAACTCTTCTGAAGATCGACCATTCATGGGGATCCATCTCAGATCATATACATAATATATATATATGATATATATGTATGTGCATATAAAATATATCAGTTATATATCCTACTCCTGACTCCTGCCACTCTTTTTGGAGCAGCTTCGGATCCCAAAGGAGCTCCGATCGGATCGCGTCTTCGATGCGGACTCCCGACTCGTCGACGGACGATCCGCCGGTGGCGCACGTTCGCCCGAAGCGGCTGGAACACTCGCAGCTCCTGAGCACAGGAGCAAGGACGCTACTAGGGGCTCCTGGCCTTACTACTAGGAACAAGAAGCTACTAGGAACAAAGGGCATCAGTTCGAAAGACATCACGTCTGGAACGGTCTGGGTGGATTGACCGGGTTTCGCACTGGTCGCCCGTGGACTGCGCTAAATAGCCGGCTTCTGGGTCAGGGCGTTGAAGGAGTAAGTTGTGGTTTGTTCTTGGTGTAACTTGCGCCCAAATCACGTTGCCGCTGGAGGAGGTCTCTTGCGCCCAAATCGTTGGTTAGACAATATTTCTGGTTAAGGATCCACTACACCCAAAAGGATCCACTGCCCGACCTGTTCGACCAAGTTTTCTCGTTGAAATCACCGCCACTGGACTGCGCTAATCGAAAAGTGGGGTGGTCAGGACACCCAGAGCACGAAGACATTTGACACTACGGGAGGTGCCAGTAGGAAATCTGCAACTCCAAAACGACTACTGGGCGAAGGCTTATGCATCAGATCTGATCTATATATGTTAGTTGTTAGATGCTGTTAGTAGAAATGAACCAACAGGCCTGAAGATCAAACCACGATTTGGTCCATAAGAATCCCTAAGCATCATCATCCGAAAAAGAAGGTGAAACATCAAATCCACTGTGAGCCATTGTGAGCACTCATATCCCTCCAAGCTACTAGGAGCAAGGACGCTACTAGAAACAAAGGGCATCGCTACTAGGAGCAAGGGCCTTACTACTGGGAACAAGAAGCTAGTAGAAACAATAAGAAGCTATAGACTTTAAATAGAATTAAGTGTAATTACTTCTAATAGCTTCTTGTTACTACTAGTAAGGCACTTGTTACTAGAAGCGATGCACTTGTTACTAGTAGAATTAGGTGTACTTAAAAGCAAAGTCAACTTCTCAGTCCCATGAGTTCGGTCAAGGAACGTGAGCCCAACGAAGTTCGGCCTGCGGCGGTAACGAAGCGAAGGCGGGAACCGGGAACCCACGTTGCAAGGCAAAGAACCTACGTTGCACGTGGTGGGGATCCCAAGAACGATGATGATTAGGGTGGATGGCATCTTTAATTAGCATTAATTAGCTGTGACCAGTGGCGAAGGAAGAATTCCTGCACCACTTGCAGACCACTGGTTTCACAAAGTTTGCCGGGGTTCACCAAAAATGACCCAAATGCCGCAGGCATTCTTTTCATGCAAAACCGTGGGATTGCCAGTTGGTCAGTTGACTCTTTCATGAAAAGCCAACATCGAACAGAACACTTATGAAAAGTGAGCGAACGAGTGCGCTGACTGCCGAGAGTGTTTCGACCGGAACTTGACAACACCGAGATCGTTGCGATCCGTTGGATCCCCACATGTCTCGAACGGAACGTGCCGCACTCCACAGGGGTGTCCTCAATTCCCCTCAAAAAAAAGGTTTGGCAAGGCAGGTGATCCACTCTTCCCGGCGGGGAAAGTTGAGTCTCCAAAGAGACAAAGACTTCAGACTTCATACAGTCATTGGCCGGGCGTTGGCCAGCAAAATGAAGTGTCAACAGGGCTCACATCCGATGGTGTTGGTATCTGGGAGGACAAAACCTGCTGTTTTTGTACTGCCCTGTGATGCATTGATCCTGTAACTGTACTCCTTTTTTCTTCCCATGGAGGCCACACAGAAATCCAAATAACATCTGGTACAAGGCCTGGCACAGACCTGGCAAGAAGCTTGCCGTTTGACCGCAAGCGTTGGCCTCTCTATCACCTTTCCCAGCCTTGAGGTACGTAAGTGAGGGGTGACAACATGTTCAACATCTTGCTGTGACGAACATCATGTGCACTGCAAAGCAAGAACGACTGGTTTCAGACTGCAGAGTGTTTAAAAACAAACAAAAACAACACAAAGACGCAAAGAAACACATGTACAATAGGTTGGGCTCTGGCATGACCAAGCAGGTTGTTTCCAAGGCAATACTGTCGGGTTGTTTCTTGAGCCTGGCTGTGTCTCTACAGGGTGCCCTCCTCGCAGTCTCGGCGCAGGCGAGTGGCTCAGCGACGTTCTGCTGTCTTCTCCCCGTGTGGGCGGCTGTTCAGCACCTGGAGGAGAGGTTTCCATGTCAGGGTCGGTCTCCGACTCTGACCCAACTGCTGACCTCACAGACATCTACTGTTGTCTAGTCTAGGACAACCAGGGTAATTCAATTGATAACTAAGGATCTAAAAGGATTTAAGGACTTCGTTTGAGCTTTCTTGGATGCTCGTCCAACGAGTTCTTTCAAATGCTCACAGCTTGAGTGGCAAGTTACACACACTGTCAGCTGCTCTCTGATCCGTGGATGTTTGACAAAATCCAAAGACCACCAGAAGAAAAACTGCCACACATGAAGGGCATCTGGCCTCCATGGTCGCTGGATCGGGGACTTTCCTGTTAAGAAACCAAACATTTTGGACATCCATTTGGGTTTGGATCCGCCCTGCTCCCTTCTGAGATCTTCTGACAGCTGCTGTTTACGCACTTCCTGGGCTGTCCCAGTGGTCAGTTAACTTTCAGGAAGATGGACAAGAATAGTTGTCCGGGGTATCAATTATTTAGCCAAATGCTGTGGCCGTCCAACAAACGTGTCTCATTATGAATCACCATGAAAGGTCTGATCAAAATAGGGTTCATCTCTCTGCCTCGACCCCTGCTGGTGGATCTTGAGTGGGAATACCAATCCCCGAAAAAACTCACAGGATCCTTTTTCTTGGACAGGTCCCTCCCTTCATCTCGCAGATCCGGCCTGGTCGCAAGGCTCCCGCAGGCCCGGAGGTTTGGGAAGATTGTGAGTCCTCTTGCCATCCATTGCACCGGGGTCAAGGACTAGGTTGTGGATGTTTCCAAGGTTGTGGTATGTTGTGGTGGTGTTTCTGAGTTGGGGTGGTCAAAGTTCTCCTGGGGAAACATGAAAGTCCACCTGACTCTAGTAATGACCTCCAAATTGTGCCGAAACTTTTGCCAAACCTGACCTAGCTCTTAGCTCGTGCTGAGAACTTGTCCATCAAAAAGTAGTGTCGATTTTGAGAAGCAGGTGATCCTGTTACGAGAAGCCACCAACTTCAGGCTGGAAGAAGAACATCTGTGTAGCTATTAGAATAAATTTAAGGAAACATCCAACAAAAATGGGTAGACTGGTCTATTTTCATTCTTCCAGGACGTCCTTGGGAGGTCTCCCTAAAAAAACGATCTCCTGAAGCGCGCCCTGCGAGTCGCTTCCATCGCCCTGAAGCTGATCCAGCAGCGGTGCCAGGGCTTCCACGGACAAATAGCCCTGCTCTCGCCAGCGCTGTGCCAGGTCTCGGGGCCGTCAGCAGACAGGACCAAAAGGTTTAGGAAGGTCACCGTATGTCACCGTGAAAGTGGGGGGTAGAGGACAAGTGTCCAAAACGAGTTCAATTTGCTTGAAGATGTTTGAAGTCTTTTTGTTGAAGATTTCTATTGTCTATCGGTAATAAATACATCGGATAAATACCGGGTACATGCTCTTCGAAGCGATTGTAGGGCTGTTGAATGAAGGAAGCTTCATGAAGCTTCTAAAGGATAGGGTCGCAGTGTCTTGGGATGCAACTGGGAATCCCCTTCTATTCCAGCCCCGTTAAGGGGAGCAACAGCCCCAGCACTCCACCTTTGGATGGGATTTATGAAATTCTGCACGGTCAGCGGACACTGAATGGATACCTGTCCAATGTTTTGTGGCTTCGTTGTTTAAACTTTGGCCAATCTGATTGATGGCGTTGCTGCTGCTGCGGCAGCTGGGGGTGCAAGTGTTAATACTAGTGCGCACCACCGTGGAGGGAGGCAGGCTGCTGTATTATGTTTATCTTTAATGAACACGGGAACATGAAAATAGGAAGGAATCTGGACAATCCCTGACATAAAATGGGAAGGGTAACATTGGGTTTGGATGTTAATCCTCTACTTTTCTAAAAGCCACACCCTGCACTCCGAACCACATCTTGAAAACACGACAAGTGCCTTCGGGTTTGGGTCCTGTAATATCATCATGTCCGAATTTCTTCGAGTCCTGCCACCAAATCTGCTGTCAAGTGAGCTGTGACAACCCTGACAACCCTCAGTTCCGGCTGCATGTGGCAAAGGCACGTCTGAGTTTCTGCAGGGAAGATTGCTTGCCTTGGCTGGCCATGTTGAATCTTTTCAGGCTAATTTTGAACGGAATCTTGAAAGGACATATGTTTTCAAATCATTTGCGGGGTCAACACTTGGAGAAAAAACTCGTCTGAACCGCTAACCCGCACCCTTGGTTCCCCAGTCTTTTGGACGGCACAATAACGAGGGTTTTGTTCCTGCAAGCAATACCTTTTGCACTAGGGATGGAGAAGGGGACGCATCACCCAATTTTAAAAGCATAAACCCAATTGAGTCCTGAAAAAACCTTAGAAGGTTGACCTCTAACATGTGAATGTTGGCAACTATTGGGAGGTTGGCGGGTGGTGGATGCAACTCCCCCACCCATCTGGAAGTCCTTAACCCCCAGTCGTCCATCAAACTGGTCTGTGCCAAACTCAGGAGACCACCCATGAAACATCATGAAACTGTTTTTGGACCACATGTGGACACACACTCCTAGTTAGGTCCTACTTGCGTCTAGCACAATTATTCAGAGCCCAGATTAAACAATTGAACAATTTTTTGGCACCTGCCGTGTCCAACAAGGCTATCCCATCACCAGTTCTCATTGTTTTCCGATGCCCGGTGACGTGGGGCTGCCAAATACTGCCGCAGCCAGTCGCTGAGGTATGGCAGGAAGCTTTGGCGCATCTGCGCTCATGTTGCGTGTTTGTCAAAAGGCGGTCCCAACATGGTTAGTTGGTTGTGCAGAAACTAACCGTCCCCATCTTGGAGTAGAATATGAATCCATCTGAAGACATGACCTGTGTCGTATTGGCTTTTGGATTTTCCATGTTGCATGTGGCCAGGATGACTATACATACAGGAAGTATCACGAAATGTAAAACCAGGAAAAAGAAGTAAGATGGGTCAAGCCTTCCAGTCTCCACACCTGATGTGTATGTATGAATGATGAATGTATGTATGAAACTATTTCCTGTCCGTCTGTCCGTCTGTCCGTCAGTCCATCCGTCCCGGTCCGTCTGTGTGTCTCTGTCTGTCTCTGTCTCTGTCTGCTTTTTGGTAGGTAGGTATGATTAGGTATGTATGTACGTAAATATGCATGTCTCTCTGTCTATTGTTTGCATGTATAGGCTTCTTCCTCGCCACCTTCGGCACAGCTCCACCCAATGCCGAGGGCACACGAAGTGCTCACCTCACCATCGGATGACAAAACATCCCACACAGTGGACATGATCGACCTTCAACGCTTGGTCAGTGCACGGCGGACTCAACGAAATGCTTGAGCTCGAAATCTGATTTCGGCGCCGTTCGTCTTTGTTTTGCTGACACGCACTTGACTTGCCCTCACACGATTCGAGACGGTGGATTCGAAACGATTCGGACGATGCAGTTCAGTGGGGTGTGTCAGGCACATTCCCTTGACTGATCTGGCTTGGCATCTTTTCCACAGACGGATAATGTCTCCGTCGGTGGTGAATGCCGTGGATCGCGAACGCCTGTTCAGGAGTTTGTTCCTCCTGTGCTTGGTCACCTTCACATAGCTGGTTGATATCTAGAAGAAGCAAATTCTTGGCAGACTGAGTCATCTCTAGACTACGGTTGAGCTTCTTTGACCATAGAGTACCCTTCTCAGTATCTATTACGGCTTTGATGTGCTTCAGAAAGCTACTCGAAAGCAGGAAAGGTGTTTTTCCTTCGACGATGGCTATACGAATCCACGGTCCGGCCAGTGGCAAAAGAAGTGCGATCGTGCTGGGCAATGTCTGATGATTGCCGAACTTGAAAATCAAATTGCATTTGGTCTTTCGAACCTGCTTTTGAATCACAACCGTCAAGTTGTTTAACAATTCAGGAACTTGTTCGTTTCCTATGACCGTTTGAGATGCTCCTAGATCCACAACGGATGGTGTTCCAAACAGGCTCGGACTGACCTCGGTTTGGTCGGGAGAATCCTGCACAGGCGGGGTGACGGCAGTCACCGCTGTCGAGCGGTCTTCACTGTTCAAGGTCATCATGGCAGGGGAAGCGAGTTTCGCTCGAAGTTTCGTCTTGAAAAGTTGTTCGAAGTATTTGATACGTTGATCAACTATCCCCAAACAACATTCACTGGTGTCCTTGGTGGTAGATTCATCGAAGGTGATGTCCGGCACTTACATAGCTCAAGTCGAATGCGAGCGTGGCTGATGTCGGCGCCACATATGCACTCTTCTCGGTGTTTGAGCCATCAGTGGACTTCTTCGACGGCCATTCGGCCTTCCAGTCGCCTCGCTGGCCACAACTGCGGCAAAAGGATTCTACAATGCGTTGCTGCAAACTTTTGAATCTCCGAGTGCCTTGAACCCTTACCTTTTCCACGACAATTTAACCCTTTGGAACTCGAAGAGGACGACGACCCTCTTCCTGAGCCCCAGAGGCCCTGGCTTTCACTCGTTCTTGAAGCCTTTTTCTGGCCTCTTTGGTGGTCCGTTGCTGATGTTGTAGAAGGCTTCGTAGGCCAAAAGCCTATATGCCGGTAAGATCTTGAAGCTTGTTTGCCCTGTCCATGTGTGCTGTACAGCCTTGCGGCCTTGTTGCTTCCAGCGATCGTACTTGTTCAGGTTGTCGGCCGGTTGTCTGTCTGTCTTTACTCAAGTAATGTAGTGGCAGTGGACATCCTGCGGCTGTGTCGCTGGGATCGAAGAGCGCATCTCTTGGCAGGTAGTGCCTGCGAATGAGTTTGTCGTTGCGAAGAATGCATTCATCCTTGCACTCATCGAGGATGAGATAGCCATGTTCCAGCTTCTATGCAGGCGGCAGGCTTTGGCTGTCTACCTTGGTGAAGTCTCATAGAATGTTTCAAAAGGCTAAATCAGCAATGGCCTGCAGCAGGCTTGGTCTGTGCTTGCGTGGCTTCGGCATGGGAGACACCACACACAACTCTCGAAAGCAACATGATAAAGGTTCCTTTCTAGTTGCTTGTAGCAAACAAGGTGGAACAGGGAGTAGGCGATGGATTGGTAGACAACAAACTCATGCATTGAAGTGGTTGTAAAGTCACTAAACAGATGAAAAGACTTACTTTTATTGCTGCCCGTGAATAATTCATGCACTGCCCCGCATACAAGTAAGGGAGTTCCTTAAAAGCAAAATTGCTGGGTCACTCCCTGGCAACTCCCATTCGCTCTTCTAAAGCTATCCATATACAGTTACATATAAAACCGACGGACTGAAAGATAGACTGCCTACCAGGGGGTGGGGAGTCTAGGTTTTCGCTACCACTTAGAATGCCTCCCAGCACATTGAGGCGTACCTGAGACGTGTCTAAAAACTAGACGACGAGTGGCCCGAAAGCATTTTTCATCATGTGTGAAGTCAGAGTGTGAGTTATGTGTTACTGTAAGTGTTCAGTGTGAAGTGTTGAGTCGAGTGTGTTGAGGCAGTGTGTGGGTCTCTGTGTGTGTGTATCTATGTCTGTGTGTGTATGTGCCTCTCTCTGTATGTCTTTCTGACGCGCAGGAACACATTTTTTCTGCAAGTTTTTGACCTCTTGCAAGTCACCTCCGCGTCGCCAGTTCTCATCTTCCAGCTGTACTACCAAGTCGGCAGTTCTCATTTTCCAGCTCCCCAGATACTCCGCGCACTAGAGTGGTACTACCAAGTCGCCAGTTCTCATCTTCCAGCTCCCCAGATACTCCGCCTCTGAAGTTGTACTACAAAGTCGCCAGTCTCATTTTCCAGCTCCCCAGATACTCTGCGTACTAAAGTTGTACTACCAAGTCACCAGTTCTCGTCCTCCAGCTCCCCAGGTACTCCGCGTACTACAAAGTCGCCAGTTCTCATCTTCCAGCTCGCCAGATACTCCGCGTACTAAAGTTGCACTACAAAGTCGCCAGTTCTCATCTTCCAGCTCCCCAGCTACTCCGCGCACTACAGTTGTACTTGCAAGTCACCAGTTCTCATCTTCCAGCTCCTCCGATACTCCGCGTACTAAAGTTTTACTATAAAGTCGCCAGTTCTCATCTTCCAGCTCCTCACCAGTACTCATCTTGCAGCTCGCCAGATACGCGCGCGCATGGGACTCCTCGCCCTGTCGCCTGCATTTCGCGCACTCGACACGCACCATCTCCGCAGAGGGTTGCCCGCGTGCAGGACACATCGTGCTCTCGCCTGCATTTCGCGCACTCGACACGCACGATCTCCGCAGAGGGTTGCCCGCGTCCAGGTCAAATCGGGCTCTCGTCTGCATTTCGCGCACTCGACACGCACGATGATCTCCGCAGAGGGTTGCCCGCGTGCAGGACAAATTGCGCTCTCGCCTGCATTTCGCGCACTCGACACGCACGATCTCCGCAGAGGGTTGCCCGCGGGCAGGACAAATCGCACTCTCGCCGCATTTCGCGACACGCACGATCTCCGCAGACGGTTGCCTGCGGGCAGGACAAATCGCGCTCTCGCCTGCTTTTCGCGCACTCGACACGCACGATCTCCGCAGAGGGTTGCGCGCGCCACGGACAAATCGCA